AAACCGTATCACTCAGTGAGTGATCATTATTATTAATCGAATAAATAAAAATCATCGATCGGTTTAAATTTTTATTTATAAATCAGGTACGATTTTTAAATTAAAAATCAAAGATAATAATTATTATATGATTTTGTGAAAAATTATCGTTTTTAAACACAGAAAAAACAGTGTGCACTAGCTAGCCATGATATACAAATATTTATTTTTTTGGAAAAGCATCATTTTTTGACTTTTTTTTAAATAGTTAAAAAGTATTAATGTAATGTTTGTAATAAAGTGTAAATATTTTTTATGTGAACAATAGTGCACAAGGAGGACAGAGTTTCACGTCACTTTTTATTTTTACAAGGCCTAGGCCAATCTCAGCTTTTTGTGATAAACATTGCATCTTGATTTTTAAGGAATTGAACCTTATTAAACTAAGACGTTTTTTAAAAGTGGGTTAGTTTTTAGTCCAAAAAGCGCAAATTAAAAAATCGCAAATGATCCATAATTTTATGAAAAAGTCATAAATTGACAATGATTTAGTCTTTAAAAGCAACCTTGAAGTTTTTTGTTCTTTTTAAATTGGTAATCACTCAAGTTAAATAATTATTATTATTTGTCTCGTTTAGTTTGACCAGAAACGTGACTTATATATATGTGTGTGTGTGTGCGTGCGTGCGTGTGTGTGTGTGTGTGTGTGTGTGTGTGTGTGTGTGTGTGTGTGTGTGTGTGTGTGTGTGTGTGTGTGTGTGTGTGTGTGTGTAATTTACATATCTTATATAGATTGGATGGAAATTCGTCTCTTTATTAATAACCGATTCCGTAAAATTATACCCACTCGAAACCACAAAAGAGTCGTCCTTGCTAAGCCGGTTCCAACACCTATATATGTCTTGATATAAAAAGGAATCACACTAAGTTCATACTTGTCCTTCGGTAAATGGCTTTAGCCCCAAATAGCTCGGGGGGGTATTGTATACATTCCACAAGTCCTTTCCATTGAATCCAGCTTGAATGACCTAAATTACCATAAGGAAAAGTCTCAATTATTTATAAAACCATTAATAACGACGATTCTATTCATTAATTCATGAAAATTAATAATAATACCGGTCGTACTTAAAGAGGTGTTGATATAAAAAAAAATATGTGATTTTTAACTGTAACACTTTTAATTATAATTAAGGTACTTGAGATAAACATGGACAGTTCTATTTCCGACCAAAATTGAGATTTCATTGACGTATGCAACTTTTCTAAAGCTTCTATAGAAAAAAAAAATCTTCATACAATAATAAGTATAAAGATAATTTTTTTTGTTTTTTTCAAGTCTAATGTACATCTCCAAATAAATTTACAACCGCATAGCTAATAAAATTGGACGTGGTGATCTATGTTTTTAAATCATTTATATTTCAAGACAATAATATTTTAATAATTCTCGACGGTAATGTATACTTCTTGTAGACAGTATATGTAAGTGAAAATTATCATGTTTATCATGAAAGGGCCTGTAAGAGATATATAGGAATCACCTATATAGTTCATTGCGTTGCTGAACTATTTTATTTTTAGCATATGTACTAAATGCATTCTGTATCATAAACGGGCCAAGGATTTAATAGTTAGAGATTATTTCGGTAGTAGATATACCTTCCCTTAGAAAATTTTTAAAAATCAAAAAATCGTTGTTATTTTTTTACACCATCTGAACTAGAGAACTTATTAAACATATTGTACTTCTTTTGATGAATGGGTAGATTTTCAAGTGAAATTAATAAATATGTACACATACTGATTATGAAGACATGTAAAAGTTAAATTTTGTAAAAAAAAAAAAAAAAAAAGCATTCGAAAGCAAATTTCTCAATCACACTAACATAATTAACCACCAGCTAAATATTATACTATTAAGGTAAACGTACTGTTATTAGACACTTTAAGAAAAATTGTAACATTAATATGAACCACAGTTTTATTTATGACACTGGATGTTTGTAAATGGGTGTAATTGAAAGAAAGTTAAGTATTTTATTGTATTCTTATATATATATATATATATATAATATTACAATGTTTTTTTTTATAATTCGACCTTTATATATTATAACTTAATATATGAATTATAGTCAGATGATAGGTCATGAAATATACTTAGATGACCTAAAACAACTTCTGTTTATTCCATTTATTCAAAAACGTTTCGATCCCTGTTTTTTTAACGTAAATAATGGGGTTCTCTTCAGTTTTTTAATTGAGCATCGATACTCCAAGCCGGGAAGCACGCTGACAGACCTAATAGCACAGCCACTAGGACATCAAGCTACTCTCTATGCTTATTATGCTATATATATATATATATATATATATATATATATATATATATATATATATATATATATATATATATATATATATATATATAGTCAATTTGTTTAAAATATCTACTACTAGTACAATGCCTATTAGTGGTACATTACTTACCTTCACTTTAGCGTCACTTTATCGATCATTCTCCTAAATACTCGGATAACTATACTTACGGATAAGTACTTAGATACTGTTTCCTTTTGCTCTTACTGTGCTTTGGCAATGAAATATGTTAGAATTTTTTTTTTATTATTAAAGTTATCATTTTTAGGCTAAAGTTGGAAAGAGGAGATTTATTTCGCGAGTCCATCTCGAAATAAATTTAAACTCGCCCAGGCCCGAAACGAACAGACACTACTTCTGATTCCAGGTCTTTAAGGTTATGCCTAATTACTACTCAGCCACTACGACTTCATGTAGCATGTGGCATGGCATTTGACAAGTCATTTGTGCCAAGTCAACTTCACCATTGTCAGCCTGCCTCCCATATAAGACTTCATCAGATTTCCTTAACCCCTCAAGTTCGGGATAGTAAACGTCCTTATCTCCCGCCGTATTCAGCCGTCTCAACTGAGATCTTCCAGAACTTCCTTTAAGGCTTATAGTTAGATAAGTCAAAACAATTCGAATTGTCCGGACTTTATACATTTAATAGGAATTGATTATTTCTTAAAAATGTATTTTTTGTATGTTTATTAGTAATAATTTAATAAAAAATAACAAAAATCTAATAAATCATTCAATAAATATTTAGTCTTCAACATACCAACATAAGACTCACGTGATGAAAAGAGTAACTATTAGAGCTAATTCGTGTGAAAAACAAAAGACAATCAGTCTGTCATAGCTTCCCATTAATAATAGTCATTGGAAAATATAGTGTTCCCCAAAATCAACCTTGGTCTTGCGGAGTGCAAGATCAATACTAAGACCGTCTAATTGTTTTAAGACAAAGATCGAGACGGGCGAAGAAAAACAAAGATTTTCGTGAATAAAATTCATAAAAAGAGTGATTCATAAAATGATCATAGCAAAATAGTTTCTGATACTAGAAAATTTTAACTAGAAAAATTTAGTTGCTTTATTTAAAGAATTGGTAGTACCAATTTTTTTTAAAGGTTATTAAATTTCCAACAAGACTTTTAAAAAAATCTTCAAAATCGGCTTTAGTTTATCAAAATGTCCTCAATGCTCCCTACTTTGTCACAAATAAAATCATCCATAATGGCCTTAATGTACCATGTTTCCGATTTAGCTCAATACCTATTCTTCCATAATAAACTTCTGAACCCTCTTGTTTCCAACCTTGCTTCCTCTTCTATTCCTGATAATCCTCCGAGGCATCTGAAAAGAAGATGGCCTCGGGGCCTTCTAATATAGAAATATAATTGTAGTGCTACCAATGAGTAGTTTCTCTCCATGTTGCACATGTCATATTACTTGTTCATATTTACTTGTTGTATTTATTATTAATTACAGTTGTAAATTTCGTTAATAAAAAAAAAGTATTTATTTATCAATATACAGTTGTAAATTTCAAGAAAAAAAAATAAATAAAAGACAAGTTTATCAAAAAAATTATACTCCGATGATTTCTCTGATCAGTTATCAAAAAAATTAATCCAAATAAATTGTGTTATTCGTAATGAACATATTTAAAATTTAAACAAAGTCCTAAAATCGGTAAGAAAGTCATGTAAGTAGACACACCAGATTTTTTATTTAAATAATCGCTGACCTTGTATAGATTTTCTTTACTCTATAACTCTCCCATTCCAAGATGGGAGTCTATCTTTCTTGAAAATTCCTTTAATGTATAATCAAGTGAATTTTATTAATTTGGTTGGACTTAATTACGTTTATGTCAGTAAAACATCTATTAATCTAAATGTACCTATTCCGTAGCGCTTTTCTAAGATTTAAATAGCAATAAGCTAATAGGTAACCGCAAAACTTCCAGACTCTTGCGCAAGTCAAGACCAGGATCGAGAGTGATTGGGCAAGACCAACACTCTTATTGTTCTTGCATTTGGGCAACATTAGTAAAATAAAAAAAGCGACAACCTTTTGAATATTTTGGAGTTGACATAATTGAACAATAGTTTCCTATGAATTAACTAAATATTGCTTCACCTAAATCAGGTTGTGAAGAAAAAATATCCCTCCAAAAATTAAATCCTAAATCCGCTCCAGATAGGCCCCATTGAAAGAGGTCCAAAAAGGTAGTCGAAAATCAAAATCCAATTATTTATTACTTTTTCGAATATCAAGGAAATAACTATTCTTACGAAAATAATTATTATAAAATATTTTGTTGTGCATTATTTCAGTCCAATAGTGCTCTTTAGGTTCATATATAACATTTATTTATTTAACAATTATTTAGTCTTAAAAATAGCATGTTTTTTAGAGAAAACGAAAAATCACCTATTTGGTATTTTAATTTTAAAAAATATCATGAGTAGTTTTTTTATTCGGTTAGTTCATACAGTTACCATGATCTCTGTTTTAATAGTTACCACGATATTTGCTTTAATAAAATCTCAAATGGTGATTTTCCTTATTTTTTAAATAAATAATGATTATGTGTATTAAATATTTAACTGATGTCAATAAAATTAATAAATAATATTGGCTTTCAGCTTACCCTAACACTACAGTAAGGTATGTGAACCGCACTGTAACGACCACAAAAGTAGCTTATGTGCATCATGACGTGAACCCAGCACCCGGTGAGTAACAAATTCAATCAGTTTATTCATATATTATTCTGCGATATACCTAAATATAATTTAACAGACATGATATTTTCTTAAAGTTTAGCCTAATATAGAAATACACTAATCAATTTTTACTTTCTAACAACTATTTACAAATTATTAATCAATGATTCAGTTTTATAGGGGGAAAAATATTATGATATAGTAATGATGTAATATAAATTTTGCTTCAGACATTAAATTATTTCATTAGTTTCACACATTATAATTCTTTAAAGTAAAACTAAAGAAAGAATAATTTTATTGTAATACAAAAGTCTCTTCCCTAAGCATTGAATCAGGAGAGTGCAAGGTAGATCATTTTTAGTATTATTAAATGATTTACTTATGTTCTTGATGGTTTTAGATGAATTATTTATAATACTATAAAATAAGGCTGTGTTTTGTTATTCCTTCACCATATTTATTTCAGTCTACATCAGCTACGTTTCGGCTAGTAAACCATTTTCAAGCCATTTTATAATAAGTGTTACTTAAACTTAACTTCAATCTGATTATGGACTACATGCAACAAGCATGATTAAATAAAATGGTTAATAATGAATAATAAAAAACAGCATTAATATATAATTATTTTTTTAATTGTTCTAAAAAAAAAACAACTCTACGTTGATTTATTTTAAAACGTGGAAGAAATATAAATCATTATCTCTCTTTTAGTTAATTATTAATTTTAGCCAGAATTATTAGAAAAATACAAACTAATTAAATGAATTTGGCGAACTTATAATCTCTTAAAGTACAAATTTAAACCCCTTAATTTGCGATTAGATATCTTAATTTTAATTCTTAAATCGAATTTGATAAAATTGGTACCATTTCAATTGTGTGCTGTTCTACAAATCATCTCTAACTTTGGGCTTAGTTGAACGAGTCGTTTTCGAAATTTAGAGGTATCTAGGGAAATACACTTGTAAGAAGTATTAGATGGAATTAGATGAAATTGATGGTTTCATTTTTGACGAATCCCCAACTTTCCTCCAATTTTGAGACAAAGTCGTTTTTAAAATATAGTTCTGCCCAGGAAAATATATGCGCAAACTATATCTAGGTACCAACATGCACATTCTCTAAAAATGACATGAAAGCCTGATTTACGCCAGTAGGTTATATGTCCATCCCATGGATTTTATTTCAGAAGAATAAAAACATTTTTAACCTCCCTAATGAATACATAGCTTCCGTCCATATCTTCGATAGCGAAGAAGTGAATGGACTAAGCTTTTATTCTGTTTCAGTGAGTTCTCTAAAATTTCACTTTTTTATATATAAGGTAATTGTAAGAGTATAATAAAAAACAACTAAGCTTGATTTATGACAAACATATCAGCTAAGCCCAGCTGAAGAGCTATCTGTCTCTTATTATGCGCACCAGTAAACTGAAAATCCGCCGGAATCGATCCCAGTTCAATATAAGTGCCACATCGAACCTCCACCCCTACCCTCCCCCCTTCAGCACCACTGATTCCTCCCTCCAATCTTCCTTAATCATATTTTTCACAGCTCGTTCCCTCTTATAATTGTTTCTCACAAAAGCAATCGAAGACGAACAATGAAAATAAACAAACTAATCGTCTGAACTGTCGATAATACTTTACCAGTGAAGTGAAAGGAAATAAAAATTTTCGAAAAAAAAAAAAAATGTTCTCCATGAATTTAGTTAATATTAGTTATTAGAGTGCTATAAGTACCATTGGGTAGTTACTCAGCAAGTGTATTCATGTCATTATATCAATTATGTCCAAATTTACTTGATGTATTTATGTAATACAGTTGTAAATGTCATAAAGAAATTAAAAAAAATATATATATATTAGTTATAGCATCATTGAACGCAGTCATCCGATAATTTTAAATGTGATATCACTCCATTTATATCACTGGAAAACTCATTTTATATAGTGTTTATAAATACAATAGGGATAGGAAGCGTTCAAAAATTTTAGCAGTTGTTTTTATAATTGCTATTGTTACTTTATTAAAAACAATTCTGGTGGGCGCAACACACAACTTTCACTCTACTTTGAATAGAAATTATTTTGTGGTAATATTGGGTCATTATAATTTATTTTAAGTACATTTTTGACGGACTTACAGCTAAAACCTTTTTTTTTTTTTTCCTACGCCTAAGTAACGCCTGCTTCGTTAGCCATGCGTGCTCTTGCAGTCCAATACAATTTTTCTCTCCGAGTATAATAGCTGTCCATTTCATTAAAGGAACATCTTATGTCCTGTAATGCAGGGCATGTATCAACCTATCAGCTAAAACCTTACAACTAACAAATCATTAAGACCATTAAAATAACAAAAGCCCTATTAATTATATCATCAGAAGGCTATAAAAACCAAGTCACTGCATCAGTTTTTGTAAACTACATAACTCCAGTCTCTGAGAAATATATACCTACAGAAATTTGAAAGTATATCTATATTATGGATTGTACCCCTATTAGTTATTAAACTCTTATTTTTCATTGTACTTTTTTTTTTTTAAGTTTACTTGTAAAATGAAATTACGAGATTTTCATTGCCTACCTACCATACGAGATTACCATAGGTAGGTCAAAGTTGTCACTAGTGTTGCCCAAAATCGGTCTTGGTCTTTGCAAGACCAAGACCAAGAATGGTAAAAAAATCGATTTTTGGAATTTTCAGGAAAAATAGTTACTAAACTTGAAAATTTTAATTATTATATGTAAAGAATTGGTATAAACCTTATACTTTTGCATTTAATTCCTCTAATTTTTAATTCAGGCTTAGTTAGATTTCTCCTATCTAAAATATTACAGTAATATCTATATAGTAATAAGCTAATAGGTGTCTACAAGACTGTTCCGAGACTCTTGCGCAAGACCAAGACTCATCTTGGTCTCGCATTTGGGCAACACTAGTTGTCACACTTATTATAACTTATTATAATGTTGGGATTTTACAAAAGGAAAATTAATCAAATTATTCACTAATTTAATTTTCTAAAAGTTTACATGATGATTTTTCAGAATAACGGACGATATATACCCAATAATTTCAATTATAGAATTATTAAACTACAATAAATGTATTTAAGGTTATAAAAATATGCTTTATACACCCATGGAATATTTTATATTTCACTTCTTTTTTCACACAAATACAATGAAATAGTTTTTTAAACAATTTCATTATTTTGATTAGGTTGACTTTTAATTTTTTTTTTTCGGACTTTTAAGTTTTAAAAGTGTACATTTAGTTAGTAAATTTCATTTGATTTCCATGGAAATCCGTTGAAAACTCAGATTCGAACATTTTCACGATAGCAATACTTTTCCTTACTATGTATTACGTATATAGATAAGTGGAATTAAAAATCTGTAATTTTTTTTATCGACCTTGATTATATTATATATAAATAAATCACAAAAAAATCTGCTATATTGTAAATCTGATCGAATTTCTACTGATTGATTCTAGTTTGTTATAAATTTCCGTTTCGTACTGAAAAATATATTAAATTTCGAGTATACATGAAATAAATGTATAGACATCATATATTTTTCATGATAAATCTTTCAATAAATTTTGTAGCTTTAATTCGGTTCTCACGAAAATTCCATATAACTGACAGGAGAAGACCTATATTAAATATAGATATTAAAAACCATTTAATTTTTTACTGGACCATTTAATTAATACTGATGTAACGAGTTTAATATAAATTGTTTGAGCAGTTTTGAAAAAAAAAAAAATATATATTACATAGATATCTAGATAAATAGATGTATTTTATTGCTTTTAAGCAATACAACTCATAGTAATGGGTTAATCTTGTTATATACACATATATCAAAGTCCGCAGACTTTCACAGTCTAGATTATAGTAATCATATTTCAATTAAAATAAATAAATAAAATAATAAATAACAGATGTATTATATAAAGTAGCTACTTGTGGTAAGTTGATTTTAATGAAAAAGCTGCTGTGGTATCCTAGGCATCTACCTACCTTAAATACTTAATTTCCTTTTTCCTAAAACTTTTCATTTTTGAAAGACTGTTCACATAGACTCAAAAAACCATTTGATCATTTGGGTATTTGGACTTAGAGAGCCAAAAATCGTGTATTTCCGTTAAAAACGTGGATTCCAGCTATTTCACGTTCGGAATACTTTTTCTTAAATAATATTTAATTCATAGATAAGTGAAAATAAAAAAACTAAAAAAAAAAACCTGATCTTAGAGCTCCATTATTTCAATAAATCGGCAAAATATGGTACGACAATGTTACGATATGAAAAAATTGTATTAATTAATTCATTACAGATTTTTAAAAAAATCCTTATTGATTAAGATTACATTCGGTCAAAATTGAGGACATTATTAATAGCGATAATTGAGTTCATTACAAACATTGATTCAAAAATTAAATTCATTGTCTTTATAGAAACATTTTCCTCCGCCCCTCCCTCATTCAGGTCGTAGAACAGTATCTTTTTCTCAAATCGAACGCAGCATACTGACCAGGAGCACCTCTACAAAGACATGAAAAGCACAAGGATTAAAAACAGTCCTCGAGAAGCAATAAGGGGACAGAAAAAGACTCTCAAAGAGTAAGTGGGAGAAGAAAAAGGAATGAAAAAGAAGGAGAGCATAATCCTATAGGGTTCCTATTGCCAGGAAATTGAATTTGAAATTTCGTTTCAGCTCGACGATTCACGAAGCTCGGTTTTTAGCCTCTGTTTATCCACACTCTTTCATTTTCCACTTACCTTATTCCGGGGCGGAACTCGAATTTTCGTCGGAGAGAGGCATAACTTTTTCCGCTCTTTCTTCTCCATTCCTCTCCCTTTAATAAAATTCGAAGTACATAACAGTGTGACTAATCCGCGATAGATTTTAATATTTTTTTCCCAGTGCCGAATCTAGAAAAATTTTGGTCCCAGCGGAAGATTGCGGCACTCATGCCCAAATCAGGCATATCACT